AAAGAAAGAAAGAAAGAAACGTTTTTTAAAATGTAAGATTTTCACAAGGCAACAGTGGAAGTGATGGGGTGTGCACCAAATCCAAAAGTTGCAAGCTATATACATTTAGTGCCTCTGTACAGCATGAAAGAGGATACAGCCAGAACACCTTAGTTCTTAATCTGGTAATCTTTCTCTTCTTTCTGACCAGACTTTATATTAAGATAGCAAAACTGATGAGCAGAAAGTAAGCATATTCATAGGTAGGCACTTATCTTGCCACTTAATTTATCTTTTGTAATCTGTGCAAATAAGCAGTAATAGTAAAGCTTAAAAGGAGGTGAAAACACTTGTCTTTCAGGATTTCTACTAAACTAAAAGCCAAGCTCAAGGAATGTAAGAACGTACAAAGGGGTCAGAAGCTATTGCCTTGCAACTGTCTGGTCAAGGACATGTTATACAGTCTAGACCGATGGTTCAAACATTAAACCTCTGAATTTAAAAAGGTAAACAATGATGAGTTCATTTTTCTAATAGAAAACACTATTTGTAGCTCAGGATTGGACTGTGAAATAAGGAGTCTCCGTTGCTGTCTCAGTTGTTTGCAGATGTTTCAATTCCCAACAAGTAACATCATCAGTGCAAATTTTCTCTTGCAATTTGTCCTCTGATTCTCTTAAAAAGCAGGAAGATTCATAATGCTGTATGATATGCCAAGTTTTTAAAATAAAGCTTTCTCTCCCAAACATGGCAACTCATTAGTTTATCACTGTGTCAGAGGTGAGAAATATTCCATATATGCAAGCAGAAAATACACCATATTGTAAATAGATAGAGCAAAACAACCTGGATGGTAAAATGCAGAAAAGAGCAAACCACAATTTTTGCTTGGTTCAAAAGGGATGTGAGAAGCAGGGAGAAGAAAGAAATAGAAACTTAAGGAGTTTCAATTACCAAGTAAGGTTTATATATTCTTCAAACGTTCATTCTCAAAAAAATAAGCTGTTATCACCAACTCAGATAGTTGTGCCATAAACTGGTAAAATGTTTATAATGATTTTCTTCCTCAGCTCTTATCTACAATTTAATTGAATGCATATCACTTAGAATGGGATTCAAATAATATTAATATATTAATATCAATTTGCATGGTTATGATTTTAAAGTAATACTAAGTACTTTAAAGTAAAGCAACTGTCATTTTGTATCCACCTGTGCAATATTAATAAAATTTTGCTTTATGAATTTTGAATAGTATCAAGAACATTAAATAAAGTTTTTTTTTAAAAAAAAACTTTTTCTTGCTACTTTGATCAGTTACAGAACTATATAGAAGAATTTAGTTCTATTCCTAGTAAATTTACATTGGAAACAAGGACAGCTTCATTTGAAGTGTTGCTTGCTTGAGAATATATACATTCACAGTTAGCGGAGTTATAACAGAAATGAATAAGAATGGAAAACTAGATTCAGGCAGAAATGAAACACAAATGACCATTCCTATATATTTCAACCAAACTCTCTGTCCCTACAGAAATTCACTCCCATTGTTTTTGTGTTCTCAATTTTTTTAGCAAATTATTTGAGGAAAAAAAGACTAGCAATGATAAGCCTTTCGTTTTAGAAGCTGAACTGAACTTGAATTCAGATGGGCAGAAGTGAATGAGGTGAACTGGGTAGCTCTGCTTGAACCAGTAGAAGCAAGAAAACATTTTTAGACAAAATATGGAAAGGTAGGTAGAGGTTTCCTTTCTGTTTGAATGGGAAAGATAAGGGATAATATGTGCCTAGACCAGTGATGGCCGACCTTTTCCATGTTGCATGCCAAAAGTGTGCTCACACGCTTGCATGCCTGCATCCATGATACAATGCACGCACGACCCCCCACCTGCGCATGCACATGTGACCACACTGCGCGCCTCTGTGCATGCACGCACAACCCACCCCCTGTGCATGTATAGCAGATACCCGACAATCAGCTGGCTGGCGGGGGCAGTAGGGCTCTTCCAGGTGACCTCTCGCATGCCGGCAGAAATGGCTCTGTGTTGTGACTGAAAGGATCGATCCTGCTGTGAGTTTTGATTCTGATGACTCTGAGGATGAAAGGCTGGAGCCTGCTGAGAATTTGGAGTCTGAATTATTAGAAGACACAGATGTGAGCCAGGGGGATGAGAGGTTATCACACAGACACTCTTCGCCTGAACCCTCGACCTCGTTCATGCCAGCAATTGATCCACAAAATGAGTCAGAAGAGTCGAGCGAGGAAGCTGAAAGATCGTGGCTTGATGCCAGAACCAGAAGGAGGCTGAAACGTCAAGCTGTGAGGAGGCATCAAGCCAGACGTTGATTTAGGGAGATTGACACACCCATCTAGGTGGTTTACGGAGGCAAACTCAGTTAGAAGGAGGAGGGCGAGTCAGTAATTAGCACGTTGCCTCAAGGAGCATAAAAGGACACAGCTGTGTGGGGGAAGATTGTCAGGAACAAAGTGTCTGATTGCGTGAAGAGGTTTTCAGCAGAGGCTCTGAGGTTCGAGAATTTGTGCCAGGACTGTTTTGCTGAACAGAGCGTGTATTATTGCTGTGGAATATAAATTATGACAGCCGTTATCTTGTAAGACTCCTTTCTGTTGGATTTAAGTTTTGGAACGGCTGCTTTTGGTTTTGTGTTGTTTGAACTCTGAAGGGGGAGCCATAACAGCTCTGCATGCCACTTCCGGCACGTGTGTCCTAGGTTCGTTATCATGGGCCTAAACAAATGGTCAGTGTCCTTTAGCATGCTGAGATAAGCAGGTCATGCAGCAACACGATCCAGCAATCAATGTTTCAACACTTTGCAATAAGGGTCTCAAAAAAATGAAGATGAACCTGCCACTTTGCACGTACAAAGGAGCCAGGACTTCGATCAGAGTGTTACAACTACCTGTTCCCCACCAAAACTAGAACATAATTTGGCGGTGGGGTGGTTGAATTGTTGCTTTACATGTTGATTTTATATCTTTGAAGTTGATTGGAAAATGAGAAAATATGCTTTAATTGCTTTAATTTTTCTCCTAAACTTGCTGAACTGCTTTAAACTAATGGGAGTCTGTTAACCTAACTCTTTTAGAATTCTAAATAACTGCATATTGGTTGCTTTACAAATGAGTACTGTGTTTCCCTGAAAATTCAAGCATTCCCACCATGGACTTTGAACACTGCTATTCAAGGCCTCCGGTCAATTTTTAACAATGATGTTAAACCCTGAGATGTGCTGTTATTTGTATATCTTCTTTGCTCTCTAGTGAAGAATGTCTAGCCAACTGAGCCACAGGGTTGTCAGGTAAGAAACATGATTTTAACATGGTTCTGGGGTAGTTCATTGTGATTGTATCAAATGTGTTGCAGCATTGTGAACTAGGCTGGCACTTTTTCTACATGTGTCATGGCTTGCTCAAGGTGGCATGAGTCTCCAACCCTGCTTTCTCAACATGAGACTGTGTGAACAGTGCTTATGCTGGGTAGTTTTTAAAATAGAACAGTTTCAATCTCAGAAGATCTCAACACAATAAGGTCTAAACACATTGAGATTGTTGACTGAAAAGGTACTTGTAATTTCTCTAACATGGGACCTACATCTACATACCAACCTATCATCCCCTCCTTTTCCTTTTGTTCTTCACTGGACCCCAATTTAAGTTCTCCATCAGTGTAGCCACTCTGAACATCTGATTAAATGACCTGCAGACCACAAAGGCCTTTGAATAAAACATGTCAGGAGTTACCAGACTCCCGTTTTTTTTTAAATCTACACATAGATATTTTTAAATGCATTTTAGACCTGAAAATCCAGAAGTGAGGAATGGAGATCAATTTCATACTTTAGTTGCTTGTTTTTTCCCCCACTACTGAAATCTTCTATATAAAGGTAGTCCTCGACTAATGGCTACAATGGACCCCAATTTTTTTTGTTGCTAAGTGAAACATTTGTTAACTAAACTTTGTTAACTTTGTAAACCCAGGTTCACCCAGTGACTTTGCTTGTAAGAAGGTCACAAAAGGTCATAAATACATGCCAGTTACAAAGTGTTCAAAGTTTGATCATGTGACAATGGGGATACTGCGGCAGTTGTAACTGTAAAAAATGGTCAGAAATCCCTGTTTTCAGTGCTTTTGTATCTTTGAACAGTCACTAAATGAACAGTTGTAAATTGAGGACTACCTATATACTTTAATCTCCCCTCTTTTCAGGGAAGATTTGGCATGCCATTGACATGCTGATGGGGCCCTTTATATACATCTGCTTTAGGATGGAATTGTGTGCCCCAACACCGTTGATAATGGACCATAGAAAACTCTTCCTTTCCAAGTCATTTGTTCTAGGACCAACTCTCTTCATACTCTACATAAATGACATCTGTGATCACATTAAGAGCAACTGTGTTCTCTTTGCAGATGTTGTAAAGCTGTTCAATACCACAGACAATACTGCTACCCTTCAAAAAGATCTTGACTATGTATCAGAATGGTCAAACAAATGGCAACTTCAAATCTCAGCAAATAAATGCTCTGTCTTACATATTGGCCAAAAAAAATCAGAAAATAAAATACAGGATGAATAGTCAAGACCTTGTTGATGATCCAAGCTCTGTAAAGGACCTTGGAATACTCATCTCTAATGATCTAAGTGCTAGAGCCCACTGTAACTACATAGCCAAAAAGGCATTAAGAGTTGTTAACCTAATCTACGTAGCTTTTTCTCTGGTAATATCACACTACTAACTAGAGCATATAAAACATTTGCTAGACCAATACTCGAATACAGCTCATCAGTCTAGAACCTACATTACGTATCTGATATTAGTACAGTTGAGAAAGTCCAGAAATATTCACAAGAAGAGTTCTCCACTCCTCTACTCATTGTAGAATACCTTATGCCACCAGACTTGAAATTCTAGACCTAGAAAACCTTGAATTACGCCGTCTTCGGTCTGATCTAAGTATGGTATATAAAATCATACATTGCAATGACTTACCTGTCAATGAATACTTCAGCTTCAACCAAAACAACACAAGAGCACACAATAGATACAAACTCAAGGTTAACCGCACCAAACTTGATTGCAGGAAATACAACTTCAGCAACAGAGTAGTCAATGTCTGGAATACTCTACCTGACTCTGTGGTTTCTTCCCCAAACCCCAAAAACTTTAACGTTAGACTGTCTACTATTGACCTCACCCCTTTCCTAAGAGGTCTGTAGGGGGCGTGCATAAGCGCACCAACGTGCCTACCATCCCTGTCCTATTTCTTTTATTTTTCTTATATGTACCCATTTAATGTATTCATAACTATGTATGTACTTATACCTGTTATCTTGTAAGCAATTAACAAATCAAAATAAAATAAAATAAAATAAATTTATATGGCTATCCAGCTTAGCCCATGTCACTGTTGATGGCATACAAAAAGAAAAAAGAAAATCATAATCAACTAATACAAAATAACATCATTAAATTAATTTAATTTATTTACTGCTAGGTGGCAGTAAAAACCAATGTAACCTAACCTCAAAAATCAAAACTGGTTTGGAAATTCTGGTGGCAGTGGTAAACTCTGCCCAAGAAATCACCAGGAGTTGAGTAAAACTGGAAGATTTTATCTAAACACAATCTGGGGAAAGATGGTCTCAAAATAAAAATTCAAAATATTGGATGGAAGACTTTTCTGTAAGTTCAGGTACTGAAGGGTGTAAATATAGATAGATATGTATAAATATTGTATGGGGTTTTTTGGTATTGTTGAGAGAATGCTGAGACAATATTAAATTGTACGGTGAAATCTTAGAAGACCAATCACTATTCTGTAGCTTTTAAAATAACAATTTTAATTTATGATTCAAAACTAATTTCACTAAATATTGAATCATCCCATATATCCATCTACAGTTATCTGTCTATCATCTATGTCACATAATATTTGTTCATTGATGTGAGTTTTCTGGAAATTCTTGTGTCTTTCAAATTCAATTTCAACTATCATTAATTCGGTTCAAAATCCATGGTTCATGTCATCATTATAAAAGATAAAGTTCAAAATGTGTGTAGTTCTGTCTTTTTTATTATTATTCCTAAATAGATGCTGTCTTTTTCATACTTGTAATTGCAAATATCCAAAAGGAGATCAGAGTTTATGAAAGAAAAAAAAAGGGGGGGGGAGGAAATCAAGGCTGAGATTCGCAATAAAAAGGTAAGGATAAGAGTTCACTAGAAGCTTCATTATAGCAAGTCAGATTGTCAGTCAATCTTAATTTAGGACAGTCCACAGTGTGGCCGATCTCCAAACTTCACACAGGACTCTTTTCTGCACCTGTCTTGAGATCTAGGAGGTTTTGAACACAAAGCATGTGGCATACCAGGGAACTAAGTGTTTTTTTGTAATATTTTCTATCATAAATATCCCAACCATATAAACTTCTAATTCAAATTGTTTTGTTTCTGCAGTCTAGTTGGTTGGATGGTTTCCTCTTTATTTTCTCAAACATATGGAATAAATGCATCAAGACCCAATATTTTGTTGATAATGGCAGATGATCTTGGATATGCAGATTCAGGATGCTTTGGTAATAATACCATCAGGTAAGTGTAAAGTTTAAAATGTGCCAGGGATATTCTGTGACTCTAGAAACCACGAAAGCACAGTTCAGGAAAATATGCAATGTTTCTAATGAGATGGGAAGAGAGCAGAAGGAATAAAATAAATAAGAAAATGAATGTGTCTTTAAAACTGTCATACATGAATAAGTTAGACCCTTTTCTATTAAAAAAAACTACATCAAACAGATAATATTTTGCCTGCCAAAAGTGGCTCAAAGGAATCACAATTTTTTACTTATTAGAGTTTTTTAATTGTATGTTTTGGATAGGTATGTGGGACAGCAAGAAACAAATGCAGACAATGGCCAATCCAACCTGGAAAGGGAAAGTGTTAAGATGTCATTCCAAATGTGTGATTTTAAGCCGCACTTTCTTTACCTGTAGAAAGTATGCAATCCACATTAAAAACAGGTTTGCTTCAAGGATTCAGTTGCAGTTCCCATATTGACAAGCAAGAACTTTACTGAACTGCTGCCCAGCTATATTCCCCCTCTCCTGAAAGATCTAGTAATTTGACTGAAGGATTTGCAAGGCTGAACCATTTTTCCCCCCTGTGGACTACTTTATGCTATAAGGGACAAGCTTGCCATAAACCAGTGTTATTCAAACTTGACAACTTCAAGATATTGGATTTCAGCCTTGGCAACTTTAAGATCTGCAGATTTTAACTCTCAAAATGTCCCATCTATCATCTTAAAGTTAAACACTGCCAGACACTGTCTTAGCACCCACTATTGCTGATTTCCTTGGCCATTCTGGTTTTGTGTTGCTTCCCATACCCGAGTCCCTTTGCTGTGGTTGGAGAACAGCTGCTAACTGTCAACTGAAAATTTTATTTGCCATTATCTCAGTTACACCTTTGAGGTTTTTACTTTCTTGAAAGTAAAATTCTTTGTGGTTTTGTTCATTTGCCTTTCAATTTATACCATAGCAAGTCCATGATAGAAGCACTGAAAAGTTTGTATAAATTAAATTGGAAATTGTAATAATCGCTACCAGATTTTTATAGAAGATAAAATTATAAAAATAGGCAAGTGAAGCAATGTGCAACTATATATTATTGTGAACTTTTTTTCTAGAATGACTGGGTAACAGATATCATGAATAAAGAAAAGAATAAAATAGTTGTGCTTTCAAGCCAATGGGTTGATTATTGTTTTTAATTTACATTGTTATCAGATATTTACTTAGCTTTTGGTTTAGATCTCAGTAAAGTAGTTTGTTTATGAACCTTAAAATAGCTAAGAATTTTCTTGTAATTTCTATTTCCCAGACCTAGGAAAGTGGTTCTGGGCATTATGATTTGGATGTTTTCAATTATAGCCTTTTGAAAGCTGAAGAAAACTAAAAACTAGCTACAATAACAACAATATGTCTTGTGACATCCTACAGGTTATTACAATTCACTTAATTGTATTAGCTCTCTATATATTGGAATAATAAAAACATGTAATATAAAACAATCATTTATTATCAGTATAATTCCCAAGACCAAGTGTGTATCAAAGAAAAGTTCATTTGTTTAGAATGGTAACAATTTTCCCTAATCATACTTTACAAGACAACTGTTGGTTTTTCCTTACAGGGCTCCTAATATTGATCAGCAAAGGAAGGTGTAAAACTTACTCAACATATTGCTGCAGCTACAACGTGTACACCAAGCAGAGCAGCTTTTCTGACTGGCAGATACCCTATCAGATCAGGTTGGCACCTACTGTAGTAATATATGTGATAAATAATACCCGACAGAAAGGTTTGCTATTGGCTTCACTTTACATCTCTAAAGGAAGTTTAAAAAAAAACTCTTATTTTTTTAGATCACAATATTGTTGGGCAACCACAATGTAACCCAGGGCTGTCCAACCTTGGCAACTTTAAGACTTGTAGACTTCAACTCCCAGAATTCCTCAGCCAGCCATACCAATTGGCAGACCCAGATCTTAACAACCTTCTGAGGATCACTCGCCTCTGGGGATAAAATGGTCCAAAGGAACAGTTATGATTTTATGTGCCATGTGAAAGAGGACAGAGTGTAAAAAACTTTGTAAGAATTACTGTTACCATCCCAAAGGCTGCATAGAGAACATAGATTAACAAAGTTGGAAGGGACCTTGGAGGACTTC